GTACAGACGAGTACACTGAGAGCTGAGTCTTCCCAGCTCGCAGCCTGCAAGAAGTGGAACTAATATTTGATCCAGATATTTCAGGGACCAAAATCCGTGTGCTTTCACACACCCAGCTGTGCCAACAAGGACGACAATGAAATTCTTCATGAATCGGTAAAGAAAGATACATCGGGCACTCACTAGATTAAAACTAAAGCATTCATGTTTAAATATTGATTAAGAATATAAATTACTTGCACGATGTAAGGAAAATAACGGGCTAGCCCAGTAAAATTTAATTGGATGTGGGGAGGCATAGGTAACACACCCAGCTATCTTGCTGCAAGTCAAATGTCTTGTCAGCAAGTACTCAATATGTGAAGATTATCATGAGAATAACAGGATTTTAGGATGTGATTCAAATACTACACAACTGTGAAAACAATGCCCCCCCCCAAAAAAGACTGTTGACCTTTAATAGCTGTTCTGTATGGGTATACATGAAATTTTAATTACTAATCTGCCATGATTAAAGTCTGGTTCAATAAAATGTAACAGAATATGATTTGGCAAATGTTGTGGGTATGATCTGTAAGAAGCAAAAATGTACCTTCCCTTATTTTCCCAAAACGAGATTTAGCATTTCTTCTCATGGTGGTCACTCCCACAAAGATATTCCATTCCAAGTAACATCATTTCTTCCAAGTGGAAGTTGGCACAGGAAATACGTTTGAAAGGACTACAAACAATGCGGTTTCCTGGCTGCAGGCTCTCCCTGTGGGATCTTTTCTAGTAACACCTCAGTTTCCGAGAACAGGTGAAGGGGGCAATACTCTGCATAACGCTTTTCTGCATCAGCTGATGCCAGGTGTTCATTGTGCTAAGTTTTTTGTTCTACGTTTTAAGACTGTAATAACCAGAGTATATTGAATTCAACTCAATTATCCTGCAGGTCACCCACCAAGCTGTGCCCGGCCCCTCCTTCTGTCTTCCCCGCCTCTTCCAAGGCACTCTTCTTGCAAAGACCCTTTGTGGTGTTCTCACTGTAATGACTGCAGATTCCGTGGATGCTTCCTTTCTAAACCCCCTTTTCTAATACTTCTGAAAACCATCCGTGTCTCTTCTGCTACTTCCCAGGTTTCATTGAAATTCATCTCCTTATTTCTACTGGAGAAACTCCTTCAATTCAGCATCTTCTTCTCACATCTTTCTCATTACAGTGACTTTTAGAACGCACAGTTGCTTCACTTTCTTAACAACGTGATATAACTACATTTCTGCACACGTAAAAGCTGAAGGTCTTTCCTACTGAGTTGTTTTCAAGTATTTTGTTAAGTCATCTTAAAAAAATAACTTCATTTTTTAAAGCATCATTTTAAAAACACTTTCAGGGTCTATAAACTTGCCCTCCATTTGCATTTCAATTTACCTCTTTACTTCAACTACCTTCCTACTCTGGTGTGTGCATAAAAAACTATTTTTCTAATATGGAAACACCAGGCTTCTCTTGTCAAGAGGCCACATTGCTGTGTTCCATCCATAAACGATTCTTGATGTTTTCACTTTCTTAATTACCTACTTTTCAATGATTCCTCCTTAATAGTTACTCTTTTGGTAGTCTTGTCTTGTTCCCAAAATTTATATATATATACACACACACACATTAGGGTAAATAAACTACAATACTTTTTCCACCTTTTGGATATTATGAATAATGCTGTTATAAACATTTGTGTACAAATTTTTGTGTGGACGTATGTTTCCATTTCTCTTGGGTATATAGCTAGGAGTGGAACTACTGGGTCATATCGTAACTAGATTTACCCTTTTAAGAACTGCCAAACTGTCTTCCAAAGTGGTTGCACCATTTTACCTTTCCACCAGCAGTGCATGGTGTCCAGTTTCTCCACATCCTTACCAACATTTGTTATTATCTGATTTTTTTTTATTATAGCTATTTTAGTGGGTATAAAGTAGTATCTCACTGTGGTTTTGGTTTGCATTTCCCTGAGAATATTTTTGTAATGAGGTTGATGTTGAAAACGAACAAACAAACAAACAAAAACCACTTCAGGATGACAGAATACATTTTCTCTCTTTGCTTCTCTTCATCTGTCAGAGGTAGGGTTATTTCAGCCTTTAAAGAACTGCTTTATAAGTTAATCTAAGTTCCCTACAATGACTGTGACCACTTCATAAATGAGTCTTCTATATTTTAGCTGCCCTGCATTCAAGATCAGTTAAAGAATTTAAATAAAATTATTAAATCAAGTTATTAAATCAAACGAAGCACCCCCAAATCATCTTTTGAAGCTTTTAGTAAATGGCAATAAATGAAAGCTTATAAAAAAGGAAAACACTGAAATTTATGCTCACAAAAGCAAGCAAACTGGACAAATTAGCATTTAAATGTTATACAGAATTTAGTTTTCAATTTTATAATTTCCTTCTGAAATTTCGTAACCTGAGAGAAGACTCTTTTGGCAGAGCTCCTGTGTTTTATTCAACAAATTTATATTCCGCACCAAAATGAAAAGAAGTTGATTTGTGAGAAGCTCTACAAAGAATCATAAATAGATACGATTTAAGTTTTGTGTCCTGTAACATTTTTGGCAAGGAAAGATGTGCTGAGTGGATGTAAACTAACAGTGCCGGGGAGGTATTTGGGCTAAACTATACTCTGCACCTGTCGTCTCTTTAGCAAACTTGCTTGGCATTTAGCAGCGCCTATACGGAAGATATTTCCACAGTGAAAATAGTTAATGCTACATAGGAAATGATTAGGTCAACTAAAAAATTGGCATATGGTTGTTTGCTTAGATAAAAATATTGTATCAGTATTAAATTTCCTGAAGTTGAAAACTCTACTGTGTAAATGTAAGAGAATATGATTATTTAGAGGAAATGCTCACTGAAATATTTGGGGGTGAAGGGCTTTATGCAAGTAACTTACTCTTGAATCATTCAGGAAAATGTTATGTATATATATTATTTCTGTGTGTATGTGTCAATACATGTCAATCTAGATGTATATGGAAGAGAAACAGCAAACAATAAAGCAGATAGAGTAAAAAAAATACCGTGATTTACAGTCAATTAAGGTATCAACAATTTCATATTTACTAATCATAAAAAGAAATTTTGAATAAGATTGTAAATAAATTTATGAAAATAATAAAACCATATTGAAAAAACTATATATTATGTATATATTTTTCCCCCAAATATCAGTGGTTTGGTATGTTAGAGATAAGAGATGGGCTAAGGAGCAGATTCATGGCAGTACATGAATATATACCAAAAATAATCATTCTGTTAATGTTCCATTTTAACGTTCAAATGAGAAATGTAAAGAAGTTTTCTTTTTATTTTGCTTTAATGAATACAGGTATTCATTTTTAATCTTTATTTTTATAAATAATTTTATTTTGAATATAATTTTTCAATTGAATAATTTTATTCACAAATGTATATATTTATACTTTTGTTTAACACCCCCTTTAACTTCCAAAAGTACCCTATAAATTATAGGATCATTCAACTTTTAGTCAATGATCTTAATTGATCAAGTGATCTTTCTTCTAAATTCCTGCCCATTGGTCAACAAGGTAAGGGAGTTGATATTTGATTAAATATCTAATCTAATAAAAACTTAATCCAGTCTGACTAAATGGCCCCTTTAGGCACTGCTCATTCTCTCTGGGAAAAATCTTTTTAGTGTCTCACATTGACTCCCCTCTCACTGCTTCTCTCCTTGAGGTTGTATCCAGGTAACCTATGGGACTTGGTAGGCAAAGGATGGGCCTCAGCCTCCTCTGGTCTCCAGGGGTATTACCTGGAGATGGTCCCTTGTCACCTGGTTGTTGTGAGCCCCAGAGGACTCCAAAGCTCATGTCTACACAGTGATCTGGTGAAGCTCCACCTCACCTCCTTCAGTGGAGATGGAAGGATAGAGCTAGTCAGATTAGGTCAAGACTTCACTAGAACTTCTAGGCTAATTCATCTCTCTCTAAATCACAGTTCACTAGTAGGCCTGCCTTGAGTGGAGGATATAATATAATATTCACAGCTGTGTACCTAAACACACAGACACAGAGTTCAGTGTTCCTATATGCCCACATATCTGTTAATGTTAGAGTGCTGTAGTATAACCAGAGCTTGGTATGACCTAATTAATGACGTAATTAATATTTTTAATGGACTATGACAAAAAAAAATCAGGAGAAATGAACTAAGATTAGCTGTAGACATTAGGTTTGGAAAAGAAAGATTGAGGCTTTGATCAAAACAGAAAGAAATTAGAAAGAATATTACCAAAAATAATGAGTCTGTACAGACTGTGAGGCAAGTACCACACCACCAGAGAGAAGTCGAAACCTCCTCTGCAAAATGCAGGTGCTTAGGGACTTCCCTGGCGGCCCAGTGGTTGACTCCGCGCTCCTAATGCTGGTGGCATGGGTTCGATCCCTGGTCGGAAAACTAAGAGCCCGCATGGCATGGCCAAAAAGGGAAAGGAAATTAGGGGACCCAACAGAATGCAGGTGCTTATTTGTCAGGGACAGCTTGAGGACAGAAGGCAAGGACATAGATTTTGTGACTTCTCAAAGGTCTTTCTAATGATGCAATAAATATTCTTAAGGCAAAAAACGGATTCTGGCAACAAGAAGAAAAGGTATATCTTTTGATATATAGGGGGAAAGGGCATATCTGTATGCCTAAGGACAAACACATTATTTAAAATCTAATGTTATTTAATGTTACTTCATTTTTCACTAAAGCCAGTAACAACTGTGATTTTTCAGTCACTAAGATCCCAAGTTCTATGTGTGTTTCTTAAAATTTCCCCATTTTTGGACAACTGATAATATTTTGAACAGTCTTTATCTTAAATACACATTCTTCCATTTTTGTGATAGGCAGATATTCTTGTTAATATTATTTCTATGTGTTCTTTTTAAATCACCTAGTATTATGTGAGTTTGCACATTTATTCATATCGGGCTATGTTGTATTTTCAGTTGATTTCATAGGTGGACTTGATGCACACTCCTACTACCAGGATCATGTTGAGTTAAAGCCTGTTCATCTGTAAGTAAAGGTGTGATGAGATGGAAAATATTAATCCTTCTAACTTGGCCAAAACTAACCAAACCTGAAATAATTTGGACCTACCACTACTAATCATTGGTTTAATTTTCCACTCATATTTGAAACACACCTTTCACATGTAACCCAACATTATCATTATTATTTTTCATTCCAAAAAGGATTTGAAGTCGGTACCGTGGTTTATGTTTCTAAAATGATAGTTTTATTTTATTTTTTTTTATCAGTAGTTGATTGCCAAATTGAAGGGAAAAAAGGATGATTTAGTCTACAAAACAGAAATTTAATATGTGTCTTGGGGGCAACATAGCAGAGGGAAAAGGGAAGAAAGACTAGGTTGGGATCCATGCTCTATCTGTGTGGCCCCAGGGGCCTCCCTTGAAGTCTCTGAGACTTGGTTCTGTCACCTGGACTCAGTTTCATAGGTGGAGGAGGGAGGATGGATTCAATGGGATAAGGTATGTAGAGCATCTGTAAAGTTGCCCATGACTGTGCCTAGTACTCAAATATTTGACTAACCGGAAGGAAGTCAACAACTACAACAAAAACACCTCAAACTGGACAGATTTCAGTTGAGTATAAGGAAGGAATCATGGTCACTTGATTGATAAAATACTAGAAAACAAGAAAATAGATACCATGACTCCATTCCTAGAAAACTCTAAGTAGCAAATAGACAACTGTATAAAATAATAGCTATCATGTGCACTTTGCATATATTATCTCACTTCATCCTCATGAAACTACTGTAATATACTAATTGGTAGTCCATTCTATAAATAGACTACTACATCTATGAGGTTCATCGATGATAGACAACCTTCCCAAAGTCTCTCAAGTAGTCAGTGATGGAGCTGGGGTCTTTCCCTCAACATGACATTGTGGACCTGCTCGGACGACCTTCCGATTCTTTTGGCTCAGTGCTCTGTAATTTCATGGAGACAGAGGAAATTTGGACAGCAGTCACTGGTGTAAGAAACACGCATGAAAGTCTTCATCAGCTGCCTCTTTGCCACAGTGGTTCCTGCCCAAATCTGTACCCCCTTCCCCAGCTTCTTTGGGGCGGAAGCCCTGAGAAACCTGCACTGGTTACTCCACCTCCCCATGTGGAATTAACTCGATTCCAGCAGAATGAGCTGAAGGAAACATAGTTCACAGGCTACACAAATCAGCACTGTGCCTGTCACATGAGAGATGTTTAAATATATGTTGGTTTCTTAAAGCCAACCTAATCTGGAAAAACATTCACCCTGTATAACGTTCCAGGACCAAGCAGCCGTCACCTCATTACTCATGCTACTGAGTGCTCATAAATGATCGACTCCAGAAGTGGGTATCTGTGGATGTGGGGAACTTGGCAGGGATTGTGACAATAACAAAGATGATCAGAGCAACTGCAAGTGAGAAAAGCACCGAAACAATGCCTAGCGGTGACTTAGAGAGTCTTCTATATATTTGTTATGTGAAAAGAGGATGATGGATGATGTCTTTCATCTCCACTGTGAAAAATATAACTCAGCAGAGAAATTGCAGTATGAAAGATGTCGGTCAGATGTCAGAAAGATCTTACTATTAGGGGAGGTTATTAAAAAATGCCAATTGATTACTGATGGTAATGGAATCTCCTTTCTTAAATGACACTCGTGTATCCATGTGCCTGAAAAGGGTGTCCTGTGGCACGGCCCAGAGGCAAGTGACTTCTGTCTCTGTTTCCTAAAGTCCCTTCAATCTCTGTGAATCCAGAACACATGAAACGTCCCGGTAAGTTTACCTAAAAGGGTTTGATCAACTCCACTCCCTCCTCAAAGGGCTTTCTCTCTTTTTTTTTGAAGTATAGTTAATTTACAATGTTGTATCAATCTCTGCTGTACAGCAAAGTGACTCAGTTATACCCATATATGCATTCTTTTTTAATATTATTTTCCATTATGGTTTATCACAGGAGATTGGATATAGTTCCCTGTGCTCTACAGTAGGACCTTGTTGTTTATCCATTCTAAATGTAATAGTTTGCATATACCAACCCCCAACTCCCAGTCCCTCCCTCCCCCACCCCCCTCCCCCTTGGCAACCACAAGTCTGTTCTCTATGTCTATGAGTCTGTTTCTGTTTCGTAGATAGGTTCATTTGTGTTATATTTTAGATTCCACATATAAGTGATATCAGATGGTATTTATCTTTCTCTTTCTGACTTACTTCACTTAGTATGATAATCTCTAGTTGCACCAAAGGGCTTTCTCAACTCCCCTGTTCACTGCTGACCTCCCACACCTTTTCAGCTGAATGTGGCTTCAACTACAGGCTGCAGAAAGCAAGAGAACAAGTTTCTACTTTGATAGATGATGCATATCATTATGTCAGATGAATATGGAATGCCTTTCAACCATGGAGGGAGCAGGAATCGGCAAGATCAAACTAAACCCAAATTAAAATCATTGTGCATGAAACAATTTAAGAGGTCAGTGGGTGCCCCCCTCAGGTATGCAAATATGGCAGAGTTTATCCAGTTGGCATCAACCAGCCTGCTTGATTTCTTTTAATAAAAGCCTTTGTATTGGATTCCATTGTAACCAGCTCAGGGATGCCACATCCATTGTACCAGCAAGACTGGAGGAAAAGCCAATCTTCTGAACTAAATCGTTAGAGGGGGCATGAACCCTGGCTTTTAACCTTCGTTAAGGCTCTAAGTTCCATAGAGTACAAAGCCAGGTTTATGAAGAAGCCTCTTTATGAAGGAGATCGGGAGAATCTTTATCACATTCCTGGGAACATGGATATAGATGGGTAACTTTCAACTCCAGATGGGTGGTTACATTCACTGCAGACTTGTACAGGGAGCCCTCATTCTTGTGTTTGATTGTGTCACTGCTCGCAATCATAAAGTGCACTTTTCCAGGGCCCACAGTCCAACTGGGTGTGAATATGTGCACTGGGTTGATGTGATGTGAGGCAGTTCACACGTGGATTTGGTCTTTCATGCTTTGTCTCTCTTTAAAGTACCAGCATCAACGAATGAACTTATTTACAAAACAGAAACAGACTCAGACACAGAAAACAAACTTATGGTTACCAAAGGGGAAAGGGGGGGAGGGGTAAATTAGGAGTTTGGGATTAACAGATACACACCACTATATATAAAACAGATAAGCAATAAGGACCTACTGTGTAACACAGGGAACCATATTCAATATCTTGTAATAACGTATAATGGAAAAGAATCTGAAAAGGGGTATATACGTATGTGTGTGTGCACGCGTGTGTGTATATCTGAATCACTTTGCTATATGCCGAAAACTAACACAACATTGTAAATCAACTATATTTAAATTAAAAAAAAAAAAAGTAATGGCACCAAGCTATCAAGACCCACTGGTTACATAAATTGGTTTACTTCCATTTACAACTGTTTGTTGGTCACTCACAACATGTGTACCAGGCCCTGGGCTGGAGATACAAAGATGAGTAATACTTGGGCTTGACCTCCAGCCGTGAATGATCTAGTAGAGGAGACCTACGTAGAAATAAGTAGATACAAAACAATGTCCCCAAGGCAACTTTTTGCAGAAGCGGGAACGTTTACTTCTCACTTGGGGAGAGAAGGCACCACTGGGAGATGATGCCTGAGCTGATGTTGGAAAGACGATGAAGAGTTTATCAAAAGCAGAAGAAGAAAACGAATGTCCCCTGCGTGGAGGCCACGCTGCAGAGGATAAAGTTGAAAGTTGTGCATATCTAATCTGGCCTTCACCACTGTTCTCACATAAAGTCAGCAACCTACTAGGAAGCAGGTGTTTAAGCCGCGAAGGAACCTTGGCTCCTGGTGGGGATGCTCTGAGGCCCTCAGCAGCCATTGCTGCACCATCTAAACAATGGCATCCTTTATGCCTAAGGCCATGGCGATGCTTCCGGTGATTGTTGTCTGGGTCTGGCTTGGGGATACGTGACACACGGGTCAAGGGGAGCCTGTTCTGGGGACCACTGTCTTGCCATGGCGGCGAATGAGGGAGCTGTAACTCTCAACGTAAGTACATCCTGCTTCTCTGCCAGCGTCTCCTCTATTGCTGCTCCTACACCACCTTTCACAATGGGGAAACAGTCAGGACAAGGGTTGCTCACCTGGTCATCAGTGGCTTTGAAGAGGACACCTCCGCAGCAGCTCATGGTGGAAGCAGCAGCTACCCCAAAGGGAGGGGGCTAACAGAAGCAGATTTACCTCTCAGGAAGAAGCATAGCTTGGCATAAATCCACGCAGCTCTGAAAGAGATACAGATATTCAGGGAATGATGTCAGAGCGAGCAACTGAATTACTTTAAGTTTTGTCAAAATCATCATAATGGTTAGCAACTGGGTGGTGGGGCAATTAAGCTGCATGTAGCAGTAACTCTTCACATAAAAATAATTACACCAAGGCAGTTTATCAGAGAAAGACAGCAGTGGAATCTCAGAACTGAGTTTCACAAGAGAAGTAGAGAGCTCTGATGATGCTAGAAATTTCCATGAGGAGAAATTTCCATGAGGAAGACACCCTGTGACTGCAGTTAAGAAAGACGTGATGACAAAAGCTTCTCCTGTTACTTTTAGCCAATCTTTTTCTAAGGTTTCCAAATGAGAACTTGACTTTTCTCTGGTATCTTGACTTGTCTGATTGCCTTTGCAGGAGGCTAATTTTTCTTCACAAAAATTGTTACATGCTCTGTGGTCACCGCTGACAGAGTGTCTGCTACTGCAACCAAGTACCGGAACACAGACGCAGCTGCCCCCCATTTCAGGCTGGCACTGCCGTCAGCTCCACTGTACCTCCACCCCTCACAGCCCAGACTCAGAGGGCATCCGCCTCTGACGATCGGGCTGCTGGACGGAACCAGACATGGTCACATCCATCTCCGCTCTTTCCTGAGAACGGGTGTTTTGTATCAGTATCCTTACAAGTTGGTGCCAGGCCATTCTGCATGTACAAAATCTACATTAAAAACCAGCCAGGAGGACAAATCAAAGGGATGTGTGTGGGTGTGTGTGGGAGATGCAGAGGTGAGAATGATGTGCTTTCAAACCCTGACTTAACAACCAATAAACACCGATGGGGAACCATCATTTACCCCATCCCTCCTCCATGTCTTGACCAGCCGCCTGAAGACTAATAAAATGATAGCTCTCTGGCTATATCCTGTTTTCATTTGCCATTGATTGGCTTTCACACCTTCCTATCCATCTATCTATGTGTCTGTCCCTGTGGCACGCAGAGCCAGGTGTCTGTGACCTGCTCATGGGATGGCGGCTCACTTTTCCCATTACTGAGTGTGCAGTTCTGTTGCCTGAGGGCAACCGTCAGTCCCTGGAAAGATGGGCGCTTACAGAGGCATTAACTCTCCGGGACGCCTCAAGCATGCAGAGCACTGCAACTGTACAGCACTCAGTGCCCTCTTAGTGGTCGCAAAGGAGAGGCAGCTTCCCTGCCTGCCTGCCTTACTTAGCTCAAACGGGGCGGCACTTAGGGCTCACCGCTCTCCCTGGCTTTGGGGAGCCTTCCCTTTGTCACTGGCATTCATGACTTTTTGATACATCCTAGGAAATGATTATACTATTTTAGGGACAATGTAAGAACACACCTAACGTGTAGCTATTTGACCAAGTAGCAGTGAGATGGCTGTGTTTATATGGTTCCCGCAGTTCTGACTCATCCCTACACTGGCCAGTTCATGCACCATTGTCCTTGCTAGGATGGAACGAGGCCACCAACCGTGCAGCCGGCCACACGCGAGAGGGCCTCCACCACTGATGGTCAGTCATCCTCGCTGGGGACACAAAGACCCTCTCGTTTGACACATGGCCTCACGCACTGCCCCCAGAGCCTCGAGGAGCCCGGTCCTCGTGCTGCCTTGTGGCGCACATAAAGCCTTTTCCAAGATGAGAAAGCTCGTATCTGAACGGTGCCCCCCCAGGGAAGCTGTCAATTCCTGTCTCTCCCAGAATCTCAGGACTCTTCTCAGTACTTGTCATTGATGTCAATGGGAAGAAAGTAGATTTCTGTAGTGGTGTGGAGATAGGGAGCATCTCCCCCGGAAAAAAACTCATCAGCATAAGTAAAAGTAACTTCATTCACACCTGTTCCCAAGAGAAAGTATACACTGATTTTAAAATTAAAGGTAATGAAGATAAACCAAATTTTATATTTAATATATATTTTTCATTTTATAGTTACATCAAAAATATATATAATCCCCATGTTATGACAGGTTCTGGGAAGAAACAAGACATAATAAAGAATGTACAAAACACAGAGTCAAGCACACACACACACACACACACACACACACACACACACACCCCGGAAGTGACAGAGAGACTTAAAAAAGCAATAGAAAAAGAGACAATGACAGGCCTATCAGGAGACACACTTTGAAATAACAACACTATCTTATCATTTGATTTCATTCTGCCTCGAGGGTAGGTACCCTCAGGTAACTGCCAACATATCTACAAAATCTGCCCAAAAAAATGATCTTAAGGATCAAAACTCAAACTCTTCTACCCAGACTAATTGACCCATCATTAAAAGAGTGATAACTAGACATTCTATGTCTCCAGAGGTGATGCAATAAGACACAGCACCATCTATGAGATATCTTGGGCTGACTGATCTTGGACTGAAAGTGTAGAAAATACAAGAATAACACAGTAAGTTAAATCTCACCACAAGGAAGCAATCAGCCACTCTAGAATGTGGGAAATAGTACAGGGCAAATGAAAACAACGCGGGAGGGGGGACTTACATTTTAAAAGGGATTTAAGAGACATACGAGTCCAATACAGTGTGTTTACCTTGTTTGGATTCTGGTTTCAACAAACCAACTGTAACGAGATGCTTTTAGACAATTGGGGAAATGCAAATATGGACTGGATAGTAAATGATATTAAGGAATTGTTGCCTATTTTGATAGATATGCTAATAAATAGGTTTTAACAAAAGAAGAAAAAATTTTTATTACTTGAGCAGAGTTTCTGAACCTCAGCACTGTTAACTCTGGACCCAAATAATTCTTTGTAGTAGGGGCTGTCCTGTGCATTTGGGGATATTTAGCAACATCCTTGGCCTCTGCCCACTAGACACCACGCACGCGCGCACACACACACACACACACACACACACACACACACACACACACACGGCCAAACTGTGGCCAACAACTGGTAAATGTCCCTGGCTAGGAAGAATCACCGAGTTAGGGAATCATCACTGAGCTGTGCCAATGAGTGACACACAAGACATGACGTCTAGGATTTGCTTTTAATACTCTAGCCAAAAAATAAATAATAAAGTTGTGGTGACTACATGAAACTTAATTAAATAATTTTTATTTTAGTTGAAGCTGGATAGTGAGAACATAGGGATTCATAATACCATTCTCTTTACTTCTGTGTGTGTATGTTTGACTTTTAAAAATCCATCTGTTACTAAAACCTAAGGCAGAGTGGTCAATAGGCTTTCCTTTCAATGCCTCCTCTCACAGTTGCTTCATTGTCTTATTAGAAAACTCCTTGCAGACGTATTTCCCAATGCCTGAAGTAACCCTCCAGCATTCCTACCTGGCATCATAGGGACAGGCTCAGCCTACTTCGCAGCTTTTCCAATCCACGTTGCTAAAGCCCCAAAGCAGAAAATAGTAACTATAAGTAGAGGTGACGTGAAAGATAAATGTAGTGGGTACCTAGACGTTCCCCCGATGCCCACCAATACTATCACTAACAAAGAAAGAAAACGCCTTCCCCTGCTGCCTTATCCCATTCTAGAAGAGTCACCTGTTGGACGGATGAATAAACTTCCACAACTGGAATCTTCCTTCAGACTAAAAGGTTATATAAAACTATAAAAATCCCACCATTATAATCTCATCCCTTTATCTTTCCGTTTAAATCCTTGTTCAACTCAGTGGGGTCAAAGGGCTAGATATTTGGGCTACATCTTTCAGAATGTAGAGAAATAGGAGAGCAGAGAAAGCGTGATAAGTGATAAGGAGAGAACTGCAGGGCTCCCGCCCCTGAGGGGTGAGGAGGGAACAGAATTTACAGGGAGAAGAGTGGCTTCCAAAAAGTGAAACTGGGAAGTTGAACATTTTTTTCAGCTATTTCAAAGTATGATGAAAAAGTCCATTCCGAGCCATAGAGTCACTGAACTGAGTTAATGGAAGAGAATATCTGGATGGGGATATAAAATAAGTATGAAACACCGTCTCCACTGGCACCCTGCTTATAATTTAGTTGGCAGGAAAAAACTTACATACCTGAGTGAAACAATCAGTGCACAATTAGTTGTGAAGCTGAAAGCCCTTCGCTACACATGGGGTCCAGCTGATAGCATAAGAGTTGCCATTAGCAGGATGAGAAAACACCACGGCTGAGGTAGAAGTGGAATCTTCATGGAGGAGAAGAGATTTCAACTGAACCTCAGAGATGAATAGGTTTGGATCAGCTAAGACTTTTCACAAGAGAGAAACAAAAGTATCCAACAAATATTTATTGGGTGCCAACTGTATAGCAGACACTGTGTTGAGGCTGATACTGTACGAAGATGCTAGAGCACAGCCCTCACCTTCCAAAGGCTTACCACCTGCTATGGAGTCAGGAAGATGCACAGAGTCTTTGTCAAATGTGTGGAGACAGGAATGATTGGAGATGAGAGTGTGTATTCCAGAGAAACAGAACCGATAGGGTGTGTGTCTGGAGAGAGAGAGATTTTAAGAAATCCGCTCATGTGATCACGGGGCAGGCAAGTCCAAATCTGCAGGGTAGGCAGGTAGACTAGAGACCCAGGAAGAGGTGACATTGCATCTGGAGTCCAAAGGCAGTCTGGAGGCAGAATTCCTTCTTCCTCCGGGGACCTCGGTCTTTTCTCTTAATGCCTTCCAACTGATTGAACATGACCCACCCACATTATGGAGGGAGTCTATTGATTTAAATGTTAATCTCTTCTAAAAAAAAAAAAAGGAAAGATACCTTCACAGTGACTTTTAGACTGGTGTTTGACCAAATATCTGGGTACTATGGCCTGGCCAAATTGACACATAAAATTAACCATCACAGGGCTTCCCCGGTGGCGCAGTGGTTGAGAGTCCGCCTGCCCATGCAGGGGACGCGGGTTCGTGCCCCGGTCCGGGAAGATCCCACATGCCGCGGAGCGGCTGGGCCCCTGAGCCGTGGCCGCTGAGCCTGCGCGTCCGGAGCCTGTGCTCCGCAA